TCTATTGTAATACTTACAAAGCAGTTCATAAAGTCCTTTCATTTATGCGTGTTTGTATATGAATACACATTATAGATAGATAGATAGATAGATAGATGGATAGATAGTTAGTTAGTTAGTTAGTCAGCTAGTATCGTATATGCATGTGGATATATGTATATGTGTATATAAGCACGGATGTATACGTGTAGTATATGTTTATATGCATATACACACACATACATATGTATATATATATATATATGTGTGCGTGTGTATGTTTTGCATATGTGTGTGTGTGTAAGTGTCCGTGTAAGTCGGGGTGCGGGTGTGTACATGTAAGCTGTGTATTCAACTATCCATGCAATGCTTGATCAAGTTCGGGCCTTTAGTTTAATCGAGAAACAACCAACAATACCAACATAACCCAACAAAAACAAGAGAGCAAAAACACAACATAGTCACTAGCCAACTGTTTGGCCGTCCTGAAAACTGGTGCCCGAAGTTCCAATCGTTCCGCATAAATTGTCGTTTTTGGTCCTTTTGTTTTTGTTGGTGTTTTGGCGGTAGTTTTGGTTCTTTTTGTAGTTGGGTTCTTTTGGTTCCTTTGGATGCTTCCTACAGTGCATATTTCGGCGTTGACTGGATGCCTTCAAACCACCCAAAAGGCGCAGGCCCAGGGTACTCCGCTTTGACCTTTTTAGTGTGTGTATGTGTCTATATGTGTGTATGTATGTATATATATATACACATAAAATTGACAGAAAGAATATGCGTTCTATCGCTGCACCGACATCTCCTGGACGAGTCTAACCCCAGTGCCCAATTGCCAATCGCGGCAAACATTGGAGGCAAGCATGTGTAGCGGGCCCAGCCTCCCACTCTGGATACAGATTGTGGGACGCAAGGCACAGTCACCCTAAACCCTAAACCCTGCAGTCACCGGTTGTTCGGCAGGACGGGATCCAAGCTATGCTTTGCTGCTACCCTAAACCCTACATCCTACACCCTTTTGCAACAGGGCTTTCCACTTCGCCAACATCCTACACCCTAAACCCTAAACCCTACACCCTAAACCCCATTCTCACTCCTGCGGCTCGGGCTCCCATGGTGGCAAGGACGGGAGCCCTTTTCGCTCCTGCGAAAAGACCGGAGATGGCTTTTAAAAATAGGTACGATTATAATAACAATACTAATAGTAATAATAGTAATAATAATAATAATGTACTGTAGGGGGCCTTACCGATAGGCCCCCAAGCAGTTCCTTTTGGTGGGTTTATATTCAGAATCCTATAGCAATGGAGTTCGTGCTGGAGTCCAGGGAGTGGCATATCATGGCTTGTCAACTTGTTCTGATAAGAAATCGGGCACATGTCACACGTCACCAAGCTCTTGAATCTTGTGTCATGGCTGCTGCCTTGAACCCTCCAACATACGACAGATCACACCGACTGCTTGCTGAAAATCACAACCACCGTTGCTCAAGCTTGCACATCCCCAAAACATACGTATTGCCACGGCAAGGCTGTTTCACTTGTACCGGCGCTTTTGCCTCCTTGAAGCCTTTTTAGGCCGCTGCTTAGAGAGCCGGTGTCTCCGTTCCCTCTCATGCTCCACTGCTTGTGGCAAGAACACGTTGAAGTAGAAGTGCCTTCAGGGCGATGCGACTTGGCTGTTTACAGATGCACAGAGCCGCCGTGGGCTTTCCAAACCACGCCTCAAAGACGGGAACATGGCCTTCTCCCAAAGCTCAGCATCGAAAAACTCTCGCCGACAGGTGTGCTCCGCCTCTGCTGCAGAATTGTAAACTTGCAATTCTTACAAGCTGCAAACACACATGATTAAGCTGCTGACACCCAACACTATGACCCTGCAAAGCAATTTTCGGACCCGGACGGTGCCAAATGTCACATGGTCTACGTCCACAGGAAACAGAAAGCTTTCACTTGCCTGGAAGTGCAGGGGTGAAGAAAGAGAATGGTTTTTGAATTTAGGCTGTCATGCACCATTTATATCCTTGCATGGGTTCATCGTTTGAACTGAAGACGAGGTGCAGGAGTCCAGAAGAAAACATCGCACCAGGGAATTTCGGTTCCCAATGCGGCAGCAGATATGCGCATGCCTCGCTTCACCGCCCAGACTATGCTACTCAGGACGCGGAATGTCGACATACCGATGATTTGCACTACGATGTTGCCAATCCAGCATTGACAGACTGCAGCACTTGTCAGACAAACTCTGATTTCACAACAAGGCGCAGCCATGGACTTGGTACTTCCAATCCATCGGGAGATCCTGCTAAAAGCGTGCTTGCTGCTTTGCTCGTCCTGTAGGCGAGTGTCTAGCTTCCGGGATCAGGCAGGCTAGAAATTGCATCCGGCTTCGAGTCGCAGAATGCTACCAGGCCTCACAACTCGGCAACACTTTCGAGCTGGACTCATCTTGGGATGTCCTCGCTTTGGAAGACTCCATTCCACTCTTTGGCGGTCTTGATCTCCAAGAGCCCCTGAAACAAGCAGGA